CATGCTGCTGTGCGCCCACCGTGTTGCTGGGTGGGTTCAGCATGCTGCTGTGCGCCCACCGTGTTGCTGGGTGGGTTCAGCATGCTGCTGTGCGCCCACCGTGTTGCTGGGTGGGTTCAGCATGCTGCTGTGCGCCCACCGTGTTGCTGGGTGGGTTCAGCATGCTGCTGTGCGCCCACCGTGTTGCTGGGTGGGTTCAGCATGCTGCTGTGCGCCCACCGTGTTGCTGGGTGGGTTCAGCATGCGTCATTTGCTGGGTGGGTTAGCAGCTGCTGTGCGCCACCGTGTTGCTGGGTGGGTTCAGCATGCTGCTGTGCGCCCAACTTCGTGTTGCTCCCCCCGTGTTGCTGGGTGGGTTCAGCATGCTGCTGTGCGCCCACCGTGTTGCTGGGTGGGTTCAGCATGCTGCTGTGCGCCCACCGTGTTGCTGGGTGGGTTCAGCATGCTGCTGTGCGCCCACCGTGTTGCTGGTGGGTTCAGCATGCTGCTGTGCGCCCACCGTGTTGCTGGGTGGGTTCAGCATGCTGCTGTGCGCCCACCGTGTTGGCTGGGTGGGTTCAGCATGCTGCTGTGCGCCCACCGTGTTGCTGGGTGGGTTCAGCATGCTGCTGTGCGCCCACCGGTGGTTGCTGGGTGGGTTCAGCATGCTGCTGTGCGCCCACCGTGTTGCTGGGTGGGTTCAGCATGCTGCTGTGCGCCCACCGTGTTGCTGGGTGGGTTCAGCATGCTGCTGTGCGCCCACCGTGTTGCTGGGTGGGTTCAGCATGCTGCTGTGCGCCCACCGTGTTGCTGGGTGGGTTCAGCATGCTGCTGTGCGCCCACCGTGTTGCTGGGTGGGTTCAGCATGCTGCTGTGCGCCCACCGTGTTGCTGGGTGGGTTCAGCATGCTGCTGTGCGCCCACCGTGTTGCTGGGTGGGTTCAGCAGTGCTGGGCCGTGTGCGGGGGTTCAGCATGCTGCTGTGCGCCCACCGTGTTGCTGGGTGGGTTCAGCATGCTGCTGTGCGCCCACCGTGTTGCTGGGTGGGTTCAGCATGCTGCTGTGCGCCCACCGTGTTGCTGGGTGGGTTCAGCATGCTGCTGTGCGCCCACCGTGTTGCTGGGTGGGTTCAGCATGCTGCTGTGCGCCCACCGTGTTGCTGGGTGGGTTCAGCATGCTGCTGTGCGCCCACCGTGTTGCTGGGTGGGTTCAGCATGCTGCTGTGCGCCCACCGTGTTGCTGGGTGGGTTCAGCATGCTGCTGTGCGCCCACCGTGTTGCTGGGTGGGTTCAGCATGCTGCTGTGCGCCCACCGTGTTGCTGGGTGGGTTCAGCATGCTGCTGTGCGCCCACCGTGTTGCTGGGTGGGTTCAGCATGCTGCTGTGCGCCCACCGTGTTGCTGGGTGGGTTCAGCATGCTGCTGTGCGCCCACCGTGTTGCTGGGTGGGTTCAGCATGCTGCTGTGCGCCCACCGTGTTGCTGGGTGGGTTCAGCATGCTGCTGTGCGCCCACCGTGTTGCTGGGTGGGTTCAGCATGCTGCTGTGCGCCCACCGTGTTGCTGGGTGGGTTCAGCATGCTGCTGTGCGCCCACCGTGTTGCTGGGTGGGTTCAGCATGCTGCTGTGCGCCCACCGTGTTGCTGGGTGGGTTCAGCATGCTGCTGTGCGCCCACCGTGTTGCTGGGGGGTTCAGCATGCTGCGTGCGCCACCGTGTTGCTGGGTGGGTTCAGCATGCTGCTGTGCGCCCACCGTGTTGCTGGTGGGTTCAGCATGCTGCTGTGCGCCCACCGTGTTGCTGGGTGGGTTCAGCATGCTGCTGTGCGCCCACCGTGTTGCTGGGTGGGTTCAGCATGCTGCTGTGCGCCACCGTGTTGCTGGGTGGGTTCAGCATGCTGCTGTGCGCCCACCGTGTTGCTGGGTGGGTTCAGCATGCTGCTGTGCGCCCACCGTGTTGCTGGGTGGGTTCAGCATGCTGCTGTGCGCCCACCGTGTTGCTGGGTGGGTTCAGCATGCTGCTGTGCGCCCACCGTGTTGCTGGGTGGGTTCAGCATGCTGCTGTGCGCCCACCGTGTTGCTGGGTGGGTTCAGCATGCTGCTGTGCGCCCACCGTGTTGCTGGGTGGGTTCAGCATGCTGCTGTGCGCCCACCGTGTTGCTGGGTGGGTTCAGCATGCTGCTGTGCGCCCACCGTGTTGCTGGGTGGGTTCAGCATGCTGCTGTGCGCCCACCGTGTTGCTGGGTGGGTTCAGCATGCTGCTGTGCGCCCACCGTGTTGCTGGGTGGGTTCAGCATGCTGCTGTGCGCCCACCGTGTTGCTGGGTGGGTTCAGCATGCTGCTGTGCGCCCACCGTGTTGCTGGGTGGGTTCAGCATGCTGCTGTGCGCCCACCGTGTTGCTGGGTGGGTTCAGCATGCTGCTGTGCGCCACCGTGTGCGGGTGGGTCAGCATGCTGCTGTGCGCCCACCGTGTTGCTGGGTGGGTTCAGCATGCTGCTGTGCGCCCACCGTGTTGCTGGGTGGGTTCAGCATGCTGCTGTGCGCCCACCGTGTTGCTGGGTGGGTTCAGCATGCTGCTGTGCGCCCACCGTGTTGCTGGGTGGGTTCAGCATGCTGCTGTGCGCCCACCGTGTTGCTGGGTGGGTTCAGCATGCTGCTGTGCGCCCACCGTGTTGCTGGGTGGGTTCAGCATGCTGCTGTGCGCCCACCGTGTTGCTGGGTGGGTTCAGCATTGGCCTGCTGGTGCGCCCACCGTGTTGCTGGGTGGGTTCAGCATGCTGCTGTGCGCCCACCGTGTTGCTGGGTGGGTTCAGCATGCTGCTGTGCGCCCACCGTGTTTGCTGGGTGGGTTCAGCATGCTGCTGTGCGCCCACCGTGTTGCTGGGTGGGTTCAGCATGCTGCTGTGCGCCCCACCGTGTTGCTGGGTGGGTTCAGCATGCTGCTGTGCGCCCACCGTGTTGCTGGGTGGGTTCAGCATGCTGCTGTGCGCCCACCGTGTTGCTGGGTGGGTTCAGCATGCTGCTGTGCGCCCACCGTGTTGCTGGGTGGGTTCAGCATGCTGCTGTGCGCCCACCGTGTTGCTGGGTGGGTTCAGCATGCTGCTGTGCGCCCACCGTGTTGCTGGGTGGGTTCAGCATGCTGCTGTGCGCCCACCGTGTTGCTGGGTGGGTTCAGCATGCTGCTGTGCGCCCCACCGTGTTGCTGGGTGGGTTCAGCATGCTGCTGTGCGCCCACCGTGTTGCTGGGTGGGTTCAGCATGCTGCTGTGCGCCCACCGTGTTGCTGGGTGGGTTCAGCATGCTGCTGTGCGCCCACCGTGTTGCTGGGTGGGTTCAGCATGCTGCTGTGCGCCCACCGTGTTGCTGGGTGGGTTCAGCATGCTGCTGTGCGCCCACCGTGTTGCTGGGTGGGTTCAGCATGCTGCTGTGCGCCCACCGTGTTGCTGGGTGGGTTCAGCATGCTGCTGTGCGCCCACCGTGTTGCTGGGTGGGTTCAGCATGCTGCTGTGCGCCCACCACCACATGGCGTGCGGCGGTGGCACCACTGAGCACATCATGATGGCAAGTGGCAGTGGGCGCACGACCAGCAAGGGGCAATGGTTAGCATGGAATGGGCGCGGGCACTCGTGAAGCTATCCCCAGGGGATGAGCGCGAGGAGCAAATATCGAGTGTGCGATGAATCTGATTGTGGGGCGCCTCGAACACGACAAGGGCACCCATGGCGGCAAAGGTGCTGTGCGCCCTTGCCCGCGCTCTGGTCTGCACCGCGGCTGGCAGGAAAACAAGCAGCGGTGCTGGCAGGTTCAGCGTGGATGCTTCGCAGACAGCTCAGCTAGGGCTAGGATAGCAGACAGACCCCAAGGCACGCAGGGCCTGTGCTGCCGCACCTTGAGCAGCAGTGCTACATCCCCGGGTATGGTGGGCTCCTGCCCCGGATGGAAGGGGAACTCACGCGACTGCCATGGGGGGCGGGGACGCGCGGAGAGGCGAGGGGAGGGGAGGAGAGGGGAGGTGGGGGGGAGGGGAGGGGAGGAGAGGGGAGGTGGGGGGGGAGGGGAGGGGAGGGGGTGAGCATGGGAGAGGGAGAAGGGAGGATGAGCAGGATGTGCCAGACGAAAACAAGCAGCCACAGCTACACAGGAACCAGCGACTCGTGACCCGTGCACCACGCCCCTCCCGCTTCCCCTTCCTCGCTTCCTCCCCACCCCTTCCCGCCTTCCCCCCATCCCCCCTTCCCCCCATCCCCCCATCCCCCCTTCCCCCCTTCCCGCCTCCCCCCCTCCCCCCTTCCCGCCTTCCCCCGTTCCCCCTTTTCCCCCTTCCCCCCCTCCCCTCCCGATCTCCCCCCCCCTCACCTCCGCCTCATTGGCCCACACGTGCAGGTGCGCGTCCACCACGGGGCAGTGCGCGGGGGGCGGGGGAAGGGGGGAGGGCGCCGCTGCCTGCGCCACGACTGGGGGAGCAGAGGGGGAGTGGGGAGTGTGTGGGAGCAGAAGCCGGGAGGGAAGGAAGCCCGGGAGGAAGAAGGGGGGGGGAGTTGCGGGTGTGGCGGGGGAGGGAGGGGGAGGAGAGAGAGGCGGGTAGGGACAGAGAGAGGGGGAAGAGGAAGCCGAGGGAGGGGAAGAGGGGGAGGGGGGGGGGGGCGGTTTGGGGGAGGGTGAGGCGCGGCACCCACCTGTGCCGCGCATCGCTGCACTCGTCGCCGATCGCCCCCCGTGCGGCGGCCAGCAGCGGCGTCGCGACGACGACGACGTCAGGCGGCTCGGAGGCACGACGAGCGGCGGCGCTAGGCGTCCCGCACTCACAGCGAGCATCGCGGTTCGGCACGGAGCGCACGCGGTACGGTGCAGTGGCGCGCGCAAGCGAGACGAGGAGGTGAGCGGCGAAGGAGAGGAGTTTCTTCCTGTGGAAGGAAATTAGAGTCTTCCGAGCCCGTCGGATACTAGCGAGTGCACTCAGTGAGCTGGAAGATGCGATGCTGGCAGATGCGAAGCGGGCAGATGCGAAGCGGGCGCAGTTAGAGCTGCGAGGGGGGTGCCCCGCAAACACGCCCAATTGACCAACCGAACCCACCAGTCGATGACACACATTCACTCTCACGCCCCGTTTCCTTCCACCACAGACGGGTTTATGAAAATTGCGTGTTGGTTCACTGGATCACATTCGCCTGCTTCTGTCGCGTCCCGCCAGTTCACTTTTGACTCGGGGAAAGCCAGGCGACACTAGTGTCGGCCGCCCAGCAGAGGTAGAGCCTCCCATTCTCCCTTCCCATCCCGCCGTCCGCACTCCCGCCGTCCGCACTGCAGTCGTCCGCACTCCCGTCCCCCCCCCCGCCAAACCAGTATCCGCTTCACTCCTTCCAATGGATCTCGCTTGGCGGAACTCCGCTCCATTCACTGCGCGGCTCCGCGCGCCAGCTCCCGGACAGCTTGCGCCGCTCGACGGTCACCGCATTCTGCGCGGCTCCTGCGGGTTGCGCGGAGTCTCGCCGCTCCGCGCACCTGCGGGAACTTCCGCAAGAAGGGGCATTCGAGTGCGCCCCAGCAGGCGGGCGGGCCGACGCACGCGCGCGGAGGCGGGGAACGCAACGGAAAAGGCGGAAGCGGAAGCGAGCGGGGCGTGGCGGGAGGCCGCGCGGGTGGGGGAGGAGATACGCGCGTGCTACGAGGTGGTGGAGCGCATGGGGCGCGGATTCGTGTTCCTGGGGTCGTCGCGCATCGCGGAGGACCACCCCTTCTTCCGCCAGTCGCTCGCGCTCAGCCGGGAGGTGCGCAGCGCATTGGGCGGAGAATGGGGGTGGGGGGGGTTGAGGGGGGATGGGAGTGGGAGTGGGAGTGGGAGTGGGAGTGGGAGTGGGATGTATGATTGGTTTACATGGGGCAACTCCACCACTTGACATCGCATCCGTGTTGATGGTGTTTCAATGCCATGCATGTGAGTGCATGTGTGCGTGCATGCACCCATGCACCCATGCACCCATGCGCCCATGCACACATGCACCCTTGCACCCTTGCACCCATGTGCCCATGCGCCAATGCGCCCTGGCACCCATGCACCCATGCGCCCATGCACCCACGCACCCTTGCACCCATGCGCCCATGGGCCCACCTTGCACCCATGCACCCATGCGCCCATGCACCCTTGCACCCCATGCGTCCATGCGCCCATGCACCCATGCACCCATGCACCCATGCACCCATGCACCCATGCACCCTTGCACCCTTGCACCCATGCGCCCATGCGCCCATGCGCCCATGCGCCCATGCGCACATGCACCCATGCACCCTTGCACCCCATGCGTCCACCCATCACCCATGCGTCCATGCACCCATACACCCATGCACCCATCACCCATCACCCATGCGTCCATGCACCCATGCACCCTTGCACCCATGCGCCCATGCAGATCGCGGTGCAATTCAGCAGCACCACGTGGTCGGGCATCGGGCCTGGTCTCATGGATGCAGTGGCCCTGGGAGCAGAGGCCGTCAACAGGTGCGCCCGTGCACATGCTGCCTCATTAACACCCAATTTACCCCCTCCCTAGAGTGCCACCTACCTCAACCTTGCACCTTGTCGTCTCCCATGCCTCCCTTTTTTCACAATGCTTCCCTCTTTCGCTCCAAACCCCACCGTTCTTCCTTCTCCATGACTCTCTACCCATGCACCGTACCCCCAAACTGCCCCCCCACCAGGCCAGTCGCGGGCTTTAAGATAGTGTCTGAGGCGCGCCAAGCCGAGGCTGCGTTTGTGCACCCCAGGCTTCCTGCTCACGCCTATGTCACCTGCAGGTAGTGGCACGTGAAAGTTTCCTGCTGCATGCCTCTGTTGGCGGTGAGACATCATTCGATATCTGAATGGTTTTCCAGATTTTTGGATGTTTGCTCTGCAGGGGCTGTTGCTTCACTGATCATTGAACTCAGCAGCAGCAGAGCCACTACCGTCCTGCAAGGTTCAGACTCCCAGCCAGCTTTAACTCTCATTCTCTTTGCACCTGTGTTTGTGTCACGGCAGGTCAGTGCTAGCGCGCAAGCAGGGCTTCCTCATGGCGGGAAGTCGCTCCACTGAGGCACATGTGGCGGGCTTCATCGCACTACCTGGCGGCGTGGGTACGCTGGACGAGATTCTAGACTTCCTTGCGCTGCGCCAGCTGGGCGTAGGCGCAGGGGCTCCAGGCGAAGGGTCACTGGGCGTGAGCTCAAGCCCAGGTTCGTCCAGAAAACGGTCGCAAGGGTTACCGGTGCCGTTCCTGCTGATGGATTATGAGGGCTGCTACCAGCCGCTGCTTGCCTGCATGGAGGAGATGCAGCGCTGGGGGTTGGTGGATGAAAGGGAGGTAGAGTCACTCTGGCATGTCTGCAGGAGTAACGATGAGGCCTTGCACTTCCTACGGAAGTTCTATTCTTGACAAGACAATTGTTGGAGTTTTGAGTAGCGCTGCTGGTTGCTTTGGGTGCTTTGCGTGGCGACCTGGAGGTTGTAAAAGCTCTCTTTCCTGTCCATGCGTTAAGTGGTTAATCACACTCAACAAACGTGTTGCCGAGTGCATGCAAATATGTCTCAGGTAGCGGAGGCTCATACGTTGAGTGAGATGGAGCACCAGCGGATGAAAAGAGCACACCAATGTTGCAGTTAAAGCTAGGGAGTTTGCATACTATCTAGTATCAATCTTGCGTCCTATCCTATCCCTGCATGTTTGTTAGTAAACTGAATCACGAAAAATCACACAAAAGTGAAGTCTGCGCTACAATCGGAACTATCGTGCATGGAGGGCCTGAGGCGCCATCACACCACCCTTCCTACCGGGCATTTGGCATGGCTAAGCCGTCATGCAAGGGCGTGTTCCAACAGTTTGGTAGGAAACTTGCACATAGTTCTCCTGTACAAAGGGTGCCCGACTTTAGAACACCTTGTTCACAAGTCGTGCTGGATGAATGTGGATGGTATTATTCATCGGGAGGGTGCACTTTGGGACAGAATTGGGCTAGGCATTTTGCGAACATCATGTGTATACGGTTGTGTAGAGGTTTTGGATATTCTGCTCGTTGGATACTTGCCACAATGTTTCCTGACAAAGGACAAAACAGCCTTGATTAGTGAATTTCGGAGAGGGTTCAGGATGTGTGGTGCGGATGCACTCGACTAAGCAAATTTAATCGGAGGGCGTGGTGTAGTCGTTCTGTGCGAAACAAAGGTAGACAAAAGGTCGGACCCGTTTTGCAATTTCGACAATTTTTTTTAATTCGCGACAGGTTAATGTTATCTGTAACTTCAGTGACTGGACCCGACGGATTCGAAAAATAAACTGCACCACGCCCTAGGCCGGTTCCCAGGAACGCGGGATAGCAGTTCAGGCAGTGCAGGGAAGCAGCACCAGGGCAGTGCAGGGAAGCAGCACCAGTAGCGTTTTGGAAGCCTCGAAAATGTCGAATCAAAATTACTGTACCACAGCCCCCTTTTTCCTCAAGCTGTGAGTCTTTCGATTTTTTCGCCGACGCGTTGTTCTCCTGGGCGCCACCAACCAACCAGAGACCACCTTGGGCTTGTCAATCACCTCTCGTCTACAGTCGTCAGCCATCCTCTCACTCTCCTTCCCCTCCTCCTCCCCTCCGGCTCCCTACCTCTCCACTGTACCACAAAGCCACACTCCGAGCTAATCAATTCCCATCAACCAAACCCTCACCTCAGTGCTGGACTGTGTAATTCACTGGCGACTGCTGCAATTGAACTCCCGCTCCGTAGTGTCTGACCACTGATCTGCCTAGCTCATCAGTTGCTCTCGCACCCTCATGATTTTGCGCACCGTCTCTTCTGATTTTTCCGCTTCGTGAAGCGAAATCGGTGCCGACAATGCCAGTAGAGATGTTCCGAAGCTGCTGTGCAACCCTAACACCCTTAGGCTGTCGCGGTTGTGATATACCGTAAACCAAAGCATGGGCGGCCGAGGCCATGCGCACGAAATGTACGGGGGCGGGGATCATGTGGCGTCCGTGCCACCCCGCCCGTCGCGGCCAACCAACCACAGGAGAGTGCAATCCGACACCAGCTTCCTCTTCGATCAAGCACTGCAACCCCATGCCACCGACTCACACGTGCAGCGCGCGTTATCCGCGTCGCGCTACCGCCAGCATTCGGCGTATGCTTTGTCGGAGCAGCCGGTGATCGAAGAGGACGAGCGCCCCAGCGAAGGCTATTCGCCCACATCCTCGCCGCCGCTAGCGCGCCGATCCAAGTCTTATTCTCGCGCCAGCGCGAAGGAACGCGCCGGCGGCAGGGACGACGACTGGGTCCGGGAGAGATTGCGCGAACACGAGAGGGAGGTGGAGCAGGAATGGCGCTCCGGTGAGCGAATACGCGGGAGCTTTAAGGACCGAGACCGCGCGTCGCATGCGAGTCGGCCTCGCGAGGCGGAGAAGGAGTGGGGCGCGGCGAATGAACGCGCGGACGCGCAACGCAATGGGAGCTTTCGCGAGAGGGAGAGGCAGCGGGCCGACGGGGCCAGCGGAAGCTTATGGGAAAGGGAGGCGCAGGAGGAGGCAGCCAGGGAGCATCTGAAGGAGAGCCACGGAGGAGAGCGCGGGAGGAGCTCGCACAAGGACGTGAGCGCGCAGGATAGGGGGAGCGGAATTCCGAGAGATGATGATAGGGGGGGCAGGGGCGGGGTCGGACGGCTAGACCGAGGGCTTGTGGGAGGCAGTTTTAAGGACAGGGACCGCATGGAGAGGGGCGGAGGTGGTAGCTTCCGGAGCAGGGAGAGGGTGGATAGGGAGAGGGAGAGGGAACGGGATAGGGAGAGGGATAGGGATAGGGAGAGGGATAGGGAAAGGGAGAGGGATAGGGAAAGGGAGAGGGATAGGGAAAGGGAGAGGGATAGGGAAGAGCGTAGCAGGCCTGGCGGAGCGAGGGAGGTTGAGCTTGGAGATAAGGAGCGAGGGAGCTTGAGGGAAAGGGAGTGGGAGCGGGAGAGGGAGATGGAGAGGGAGCGAGAGTGGGAAAGAGACAGGGACAGGGAGCGAGAGAGGGAGTGGGAGCGGGCGAGAGAAAGGGATCAGTCGTCGCACCAGTCGCACCAGTCGTCGCACCAGTCGCAGCGCCTGTCGCAGCAAGGTGGGTCGTCCAGGCCGCAACAGAGATCGGATCGGGCTGACATGCACCAGAGCAACCAGGGCTCTAGCCCCCCTCTGCACGCCCAGCATCAGCGGCAGCAGCCGCACTCCCACCAGCAGCAGGCGGAAGGCGGTCTCTCCGCTGGTCCAGCTCAAGGCTTGCGCGGCTCTCCGCTCAATTCCAAGCCGCGGGGGTACAGCGGAGCGAGCAGTGGGAGCGGCGGGCCTTCCCCCGACAGCAGCAAGCACGGGCCGTCGCCCATGGGTCCCGACATGCTGCGCGTGATGAACCAGAGCAATCGCCACCGTCGGATCCGATCGGAGGATTGCTCCGCGTTCCACCACGTGCTGGGCAACGACCCCAGCTCTGCAGGCAGCAGCCCCTCGCACATGCCCTCTGGGATGGCAGGCGGCAGGGGGGCTCTGGGCATGGGCATGCAGGGGGGTGCCCGGGCTCTCAGCGCGAGTCACGGCGGTTCTGGGCCGGCCAGCAGTGCGGGAAGGTTGGGAGCAGGCAGCCATAGCAGCGGCGGAGGCAGCGGCGGCGGCTCGGTGGACCATGGGGCGCAGATGCAGATGCGCAAGGGGGATGTGGGGGCGAGCGCCAACGGCGGAAAGGGCACCCCAGGGCAAGCAGGTGAGGCTGGGGAGAGGACCGGGGGCGAGAGGGGCAGTGCGGTTGAACGAGCAGCAGAGAGAGCGCCAGAAAGAGTGTCAGAGAGAGGGCCGGAGCGAGCGCCGGAGAGAGGGTCAGAGCGAGCGGCAGAGAGAGCGCCAGAGCGAGCGGCAGCGGGTATGCCCGTGCTGGCGCGGGGCTTGGGCAGCCAGAAGGAGCGGCGGGGTGCGCGGTCATCGCTGTTCCCGCCCTCGCACTCCGTGTCCTCTGTCCCCTCGTCCGACCATGAGCGCTCGCAGGAGCGCCTCTCATCCTCACGCGCAGGCGCGGGAGGGGGGGCTAGCAGGGAAACCTTGGGGGGCTCCCCTGACAGGCACAGCGGGGGACGAAGCGCAGCTGGGGGGGCGTCCGCGGGGCTGAAGGGATCCGCGCTGGGGAGAGGGCGCGGGGCAGGGGGAAGGGGGATCCTGGGGACGGCAGTGGAGGCGCTAGAGCAGCAGCAGCAGCGGCTGCGGCAGCAGCAGCAGCAACAGCAGCAGCAGTGGCAGAAGCTGCAAGGTGCTGTGGATGCAGACGCGCGGGAGGGCGCGCAGGAGAAGGGGGATGGCGGGGCGGGGAGGGCGCATGGGGAGGACGACGGTAGGGGGAAGCCATCCAGTGCTGTGGGGTATGGAGACGGGAGCAAGAGCGCTGGCAGGCGGTCACTGGATGCAGGGCTGCAGAGAGGCGCAGGGGGGAGCACAGGGGGGAGCGCAGGGGGAGGTGTGGGCGGAGCAGGCAGCGGGTCTGGGGCGCATGAGGCGGCAGTGCGTGGGCGGGCGGGGCTCTTTGAACCCGACATGGCGGGCGAGTCGAGACCGAGGAGTGGGGGGCATGTGGGAGATGCCATGGGAACAGGTGGGAGGAGAACCATCCGGCCTAGCCAGAGTGAGGGTGGGGCAGGGACAGTCGTGGAGACGTTTGGAGAAGCGGGGGAGGAGGCGGGGGCAAGGGGCTCACTGCATGATCCGCAGGGGCTGCTCGTGCGCAAGGGCTCCCAGGCACGCGCAGGGGCGTCAGGGGGGCTACAGACAGGGTCAGAAGACGTGTGGGATCAGCAGGTGAAGCCTGTCAGGCGAAAGCCGGGCCACCAACGCTCCTACTCGCACTCCATCTCCCCTCTCTCCTCCTCCCCCCCTCGTATGATCGGTTCTTCGTCAGTAGGGCACGTGGGCATCGGAGCACCAGCAGGGGTGGGCGCGAGGGGAGGCTCAGGGGCGCATTCCGCCTCCCCCCAGCCCAGCAGGCCCCCTCCTCGCAGCCCCCCACGCGCTTCCGTTGGACCTTCCCGCGCTGCTACAGCCCGTAGCACAAGTGGAAGCTTCCTGGCAAGTGCAGGAGCCGCAGTGGCGGCAGTAGGGGCGGAAGCTGGGTCTAGTTCCAGAAAGGCGCTTGCAGGAGGTGCCGGGGAGAGTGGAAACAGCGGCAGCATCAGCGGCAGGGAGAGTAGCAGTGGAGGGACAGGTAGTAGCATGGGAATGGGAATGGGCATGGGCATGGGCATGGGCATGGGCAGCGTCAGCAACAGGCAGAGGAGTGGGGAGGACCCCACGGGAGCAGCAGCAGCACGGTCGCGGCACCGCAGGAGCGAGAGTGCAGGCCCGGGGTACTTTGTCCCGGGCGCGGGCATGTGGGGGGGCGCAGGGGGCATGGCGCATGGCAGCCGTGGCGCGGGCACTGGCAACAGCAGCAGCGGCACTGGCGGTGGCAGCGGGGGCGTCACTGGCAGCGGCGGCAGCAGCAGCAGCAGCGGCGGCAGCAGTGGCGGCAGTGGGAGCAACAAGGGGATGTTTTCGTCTGCGTCGCTGGGTGAGTTGGGTGTGAACAGTCCGCGGGGCAGGGGCGTGGCAGTGCCAGCAGGCCGAGGCAGCAGCCCGCTCTCCATGCCCTCCAAAGCCAGCACTGGGGGGAACGGGGGGAAGGCAACAGGCGCAGGAGGGGGAGGGGGAGGGGGAGGGGGAGGTGGAGGGGGAGGTGGAGGGGGAGGTGGAGGGGGAGGGGAGGGGGAGGGGGAGGTGGAGGGGGAGGTGGAGGGGGAGGGGGTGGGGGAGGTGGAGGGGGAGGGGGTGGGGGAACATGGGGAGGGGAGGCGGAGAGGCCAGGCGGGGCGTCTGCAGGGGGGGGGCCTGGGAGCTCGTCCTCAGCGTCCACCTCGCCCTCCGCCCTGTCCCCTGAGTCCGTCCCCTCTAAAAGCAGCCTCTCTGTTCGCTCTAGCAAGGAGCTGAAGCCCCATTCCGGCCCTTCCGGACCCGCCTCCCGCTCCGCCTCCCCCCCCGGGGTTCAAAGCGGGGCACAGGGGGCAGGCGGGCAGGGAATGCATGGAAGCACAGGCACAGGCATTGGCGCAGCAGCAGCAGCCGCAGCAGGTGGAGCAGGAGCAGGAGCAGGCGCGAGCAGCAGTCAAGAGCATGGTACCTCGGCGCTGGGCAGCCTGGCCCTGAAGCTGAAGGCGCGTGGCGGCATGCACATCAACCTGCCCCGCAGCACCAGCACCGGAGGCGCAGGGGGCAGCGGTAGCGACACCCACGGCCTTGGAGGGGGAAGCAGTGGGGGAGGGGGGGGAGAGAGGGGCGGAGCAGGCGGAGGAGGGGGAGGAGGAGGGGGAGGGGGAGGAGGAGGGAGTTCCGGCGCCAGCCCTGAGGCTCAGTTCGGGTCGAGGAAGAACCTGGGTAATCTGGGCAGTGGGACTAGCTTCTCCCAGACAACCAGCCCCACTAGCGGCTACAACAGTCCCTATAACCTCGCGAGTCCTGCGGAGGGAGTGAGTCCGTGCAGCCAGACGTCTAGCCCTGGCCCGCTGCTGGACCCTGACCGCTTATGGGAGCTGCAGCACTTCAAACGCGCCACTCCCAACACCACACCCACCACGTCCCCGCGTCTCTCTGGCTCCCTCTCCCCCCCGCCCGCTGCTCCCCCCCGCACGCCCAATGTGAGCGACTACTATTATTCGTACAAGTCTGGGGGGAGCCCCAGAGGCGGGGGCGGAGGGGAGGGTGTGCCGCAAGAGGGGGAGGGGCAAATGCAGGGGCATAGCGGGGAGGCAGGAGCGGGAGGGGGGGTAGTAGAGGCAGTGGGAGCAGCAGCAGGAGTGGTGGCGGCAGTGGCAGCGACGCCGTCGACGTCGAATGTGCTGCAGAAGCCGTTTGTGGTGCTGAATGAGGTGTACCGGCTGTCGAGGAAGGAGCTGGGGCGAGGAAACTTCGGGGTGATCCGCCTGTGCGAGAAGCGCGAGACGGGAGAGAGGTTCGCGTGCAAGACCATCGAGAAGAAGAACCTCGAGGTGAGAGGAGGAGGAAGTGGGGGGAGGGGTGGGAGGTGGGGAGGCGGGGGCAGGGGGAAGGAGAGAAGAAGGATGTGAAAACGAGAGGGGGGCTCAGTTGACCTACTTTCCCTCTCAACCCACCCCTTACACAGCTCCTTATTCCTTCTCTGGTTCTTCTCCGCGTCGCTCTTTGCTGAATCGATTCCTGTGCCGTGTGTGTGTTCGCTGCCTCTTATGGACGTATGCATGGGTATGTGTGATGGGGACGCGTGGGTTGTGCTGTGTGTGCGCGTGGCTGTTATGCCCATGTGCGGGTGTGCAAGCACCCCTGTGCTTGTGACCGTGTCTGCACATGCGTCTGTGTGGTGGTGTGCGTGTGTGATTGCCTATGTCGGTGCGTGCATACGCATGTGTGTGCATGGGTGTGCTGTGCATTGATGGCAGTGCTGGGAGGACGTGGAGGACGTGCGGAGGGAGGTGGCGGTGATGGAGCTGCTGAGGGGCCACCCCAACGTCATCACACTCCTCGATACTGTGGAGGACCACAAGGTGGGGGCACACGTGCACTGTGATGGTGGAATGTGATGGGAATGGGGGCTGGACCAGGGGCTGCTGGTGGCGGAATGGAACAAGTGGGCGGGTCTAGGGAAGTGGAAAGGGAAAGGGAAGCTGAAGATTTTTTAAGACCCAGTCAACCACTGACTGGTACTCGTTGACATTCTCGGTCAAGCCGGGTTGGAGTCATGTGCCATCCACGTCTCAACCCCAGCCCCAGTATCTGCTGCCTTTCAGAATGCACTAACCCACTGTGAGCTCCAACCCTCACCCAGCCTCTATCCACCTCAACCAGACGCAACAGCCATCTCACAATACCCCTCGCACCATTCCTTGCTATTTGTGCCTGTCCGTCCACCCTGGCAGGAGGTGCATCTGATAATGGAGCTGTGCGAGGGCGGCGAGCTGTTTGACCGCATTCAGGAGCGCGGGTACTACAGTGAGCGGCAGGCGGCCAAGGTGACGCGCACGGTGATCGAGGTGCTGCAGCACTGCCACGGGCTCTCCGTGCTGCACCGCGACCTCAAGCCTGAGAATATCCTGCTCACGGGCAAGAGGAGCGACACGCGCTGCAAGGTCATTGACTACGGCATGGCCTATATCTTCCAACCAGGTGCGTGCTCGCTGCTTGTGACGGGGCCCTGGGGGTGTATGTGGGTCGGATGGGCGTGGGATGGCATGGCATGTGTGGGTGGCGATGGTGCCTGTGCAGTGGTGCATGGGCTGTGAGGGCGTGTTCGCCTGTCCCTGCATGGCATGCTGGCGGTTAACTCGCATCTTGTCTGTCTGGGTACGTTTCCCTCCCCTCCCTGGAGTCCCACTGCCCATCCAACACTGTCAGCGGCACCACCCTCTGTTCCCCTCACTCTTTCTCCTTGTAACCCCATCTTTACCCACCACTGCAGGCCGTTCCTCACTGCTCCCGCCCCCAACTCACAACACTCCCGACTCCCCTCCCCTCTCTCCCCCCCCCTCCCCCCTTCCTGCACCCCCCTCACACCAGGCGAACGGTGCACGTTCCGTGCTGGCACGCCCAACTACATCGCGCCGGAGGTGATCAACAAGAACTATGGCGTGGAGGCGGACGTGTGGAGCGCGGGGGTGATCCTCTACATCCTGCTGTGCGGCCTGCCGCCCTTCTGGGGCGACACCACGGAGGAGATCTTCAAGAGCGTGCTGTGGGGCCACCTCGACTTTGACACCGACCCCTGGCCGCAGGTGTCGGACGCCGCCAAGGACCTCGTGCGGCGCATGCTGTGCAAGAACTACGCCAAGCGCATCACCGTGGACGCCATCCTGCGTGAGTGTAGGGAGATGGGTGGGGGTCCTGCGTGTGTGGTGGGTGGGTGGGTGGGTGTGAGGTTTTTATTCAGAAGCTGTTGTACACCCCACCCTTTCTTCCTTCTCTCTGCCTCTCTCACGCACACACACCCTCACCCCCAACCGCACTCTCACGCATGAAACCACGCAACACCCCCCCACCCCCCAAAACACTAATGCAGACTGATGTGCAGATTATTGTCCATACTCACATACTCCCCTTCGTCCTCATGGCTGCCTTTGTCTGCCATTCTTGCTTGCTGCCCCCCAGGCCACCCTTGGATCGTGGCATACACCACGTAGCACTCCCATCAGCCTATTTCCCTGCAACTGCTGCCAGCAAGGAGAGGGAGGCACTTGTTCTTGGTGGTGAAATACTGTAGACGTTGGAGATGGGTGATGGGGAGGTGGGAAGGGAAGAGATGGGTATCAAAATGAAGGCCACGAGGGTCACAAGGCTAGGGGTTGGACAAGTGCGATTGTGTTCGCCCACTAAGATAGCAGGATCTGGGTGGGTACCAAGATAGCTTTTTGTCGTGGAAGCTTCAAGTTGGTTGGAGGTGACGGCCCACTAATAAGGGGTTGTCGAGTCGAATATGCAGGCTACATAAAACAATAGGCCACTGATCTAAATGCGAGCATCTTCATCTGGCTTGGTTGCATTCTGTTGATTGAATCATATATATGGCTAAATTGGCGTTAGTGTTAGGTTATCGACAGAATCAATGACTAAGGAAAAGTGTAGGGGTACACAAGAGTAGGGCTGTACTCTCTAAGAACTGACCTACTAGGCTATATACAAATATAACCTAGCTAACTGAAATTATATTTATTGATAGTTAGTTAGGATAAAATGGTATCTAGTTCACCCTTGTTTCTAGTCATTCTTGTATCTTAACATGGTATCATAGTAGGTTAGGTCCGCCCACCCGCTTCAGCCCCTCGCCCTAGCCTACAGCCGTCCCCTAGCGCGTCCGCCGGCCTCTAGCACTTCCCCCGGCCCCTAGCGTACCCGCTGACCCCTAGCGTACCGCCGGCCCCTAGCATACCCGTCGGCTCCTCGCGCACCTCGCCGGACCCCTAGCGTGCCCGCCGCCCCTTACGCGTCGCGCCGGCCCCTCGCGTACCCCGCCGGCTCCTCGCGTGCCGTGTTGGCCCCTTAGCGCACCGCCGGCCCATCGCGTCTAGCTGGCCCCTCGCGCCTAACCGGCCCCTCATGCCTAGTCAGCCCCTCGCGCCTAGCCGGCCCCTCGTGCCCAGCCGGCCCCTCGCGCCTAGCAGGCCCCTCGTGCCCAGCCGGCCCCTCGCGCCTAGCCGGCCCCTCGTGCCTAGCCGGCCCCTCGTGCCTAGTCGGCCCCTTGCACCTAACCGGCCCTTCGTGCCCAGGCGGCCCCTCGCGCCTAGCCGGACCCTCGCGCCTAGCCGGCCCCTCGCGCCTAGCCAGCCCCTCGTGCTTAGCCGGCCCCTCGTGTGCTCGATGGCCCCTCGCGTACCTGCCGGCCCCTTGCGCACCCGCCCGGCCTCTCGCGCGCCTCGCCGGCCCCTCCTTTGCTCACTTGCCCTCTGCACCTCGCCAGACCTTTGCACCTCGCCGGCCCTTTGCGCCCTGCCGGCTTTGCGCGCATCGGACCATGCGCAGCTCGGGCCCTCCTTGGCCTTTCGCCCGGTTTTCCGGCCGAAGAGTCCTGCCGCCACGCCACTGTGTCGCCGTGCCGCTGAGTATCTGTGCTGCTGTGCCGCCGTGTCCCCGTGCCGCTGTGCTGGCTTGACTCTGTGCTGCCGTGGACCTGAGCCGCTGAGGTTGCACGATGGCGGATGCCGTACTTCGCTTGGACGCGGAGGGGCACGCGATCAACTTCGCCGCCTGGCTTGTCGATCTTCGCCGGCACCTGACAGGTCAGTGCCAGGATGGGCACTCCCAGGCTATGCATCTTGATGACTTGCTTCCCCGCCCCTCCGCGCCTCATCCCTTCCATGCTAACCCCACTACTGCTGAGCATGAGGCCTTTTCTGCTGCTGCGCTCGCTCGCGCTGTCTGGGATTCTCGCGATGCTGTAGCGCAGCTAGCCATTAGCCATGCGCTTCCCCTGTCCGAGCTTCCGCGCTTCACTGCTGTCGCGAACGACAAGGATTTCCTAGATGCAGTAGTTGCGCGCTACTCCGCCCCTGCCTCCGCCTCTACTGGCCGCTTGATCCTCCCCATGCTATTCCCCGATCTTTCTGCTTTCCCCACTGTCGCTGACCTCGCCACTCACCTCCGTGAACTAGAGACTAACTACCGTGCTGCTAGCACTACCACCCAACTCACTACCTTCCCCCCACCGTTCTGCGCTACCGTGTACCTTATTGCCATGCACCTGCCTGACCGCTTAGCCACTGCCCGCGACCACTTCCTTAGCCAGCACCCTGGCGACCTCACCCTGACCGCCTTTGTCACTGCCATGTCAGAGATAGAGATTCGACAGCGCACTATCGCTCAGTCGAGCAGTGTTGCGGCAGTTCCTATCTTGCAGGGTTGTGCTCCCTCCCAATGCACTTACGCTGATGTGTCCGCCGCGGTCGCTACGGCTGCCCCTCCCACTGAGACCGCAGCTGCAGCCTTCCTGCAGCAATGACAGTGTCGAGGCCGCCGCGGCCCCAAGGGAGGGCGCGGTGGTGGCGCTGGTGGTGGTGGTAGTGGTGGTTTGGACAATGGTTATGACGAGGGGGTTGGCACTGGTGTCCAGGAGCAGCAGAAGTCGCAGCAGACGTAGCAGCAGCCGCCGCAGTAGCAGCAGCCGTGGGCCCGCCTCCCGCCGGGGTGGCCAACAGCCCCAGGAGGTGGTGGCCGCGGTGGCGGCCCTCGCAGCTCGGCATTGAGGACGGTGCTAGTTCTGCGGTTCCTGCCGTGGCTTGTCCCGGCGGGCCTGGGGGTGGCACAGGTGCTGGAGAGAGTTCTCGCCCTGGGGGTGCTCGTTCTGGGGGTGCAGGAGTGGAGTATTCCTGGGGTGGTTGTGGTGTAGCTGGCGGTCCTGGTATCGGCGTCGACCAGCAGCAGCAGCAGTCGCTGCCGGTGTCCGCCCTTCGAATGCTCGGCCTTCCCTCCCCAAACCACTCGCCTGCGCCTTCCCCGCCGCCTCCTCCCCTTCCTGTTTACGGCCATGTGTTCCTTCCGCCGGACTCGTGTCCGGCTCGTCTTCCTCCTCGTTCCCCTCTTGTGTCTCCTCCTCTGTCTCCTGACCAGACGCCTCTGTCTCACGTCTGGTCTCGCCGTCCCTCTCGTGCTCGTCCTGTCACACCTGTTTAGCATTCTCACCCTAGGTTGCTCCGTTACCACGCGTCTCATCCTCCCCTCCTCCCGTCGCCTCCTCCGTCATCGCTCCCTATCGCGCCTCCCCCTCTGTCTAACTACCTTCGTGCTGCTCGTCCTCTTGTTCCTTGGGTCCTTGCCTGCCTCGTTACCGACCCTTCCGTTCCTATCTCGAGTCTTAATGCTCTTGTTGCTACTGTAGCTGACTTTGCCTCTACCCGCCGCCTTGACTACGCCACCGCTCTAGTCTCTGACCCTGTCTGTCCTCCGTCCCTCAGGGGTGCGCCTGCCCTTGGCAGTAACGTCCTAGAGGACAGGCAGTACGAGCTTGCTTTCCTATCTGAGGCTGCTCCCCATCTCTGTTCCATGCTGCTAGTTCATGAGGGTGACCCAGCTGCCTTTGACATCCCGACCCCTCGCACTTACGCTGAGGTGACCTCGGGACCCTGGGCCTCTCAATGGATAGCTGCCATGGAGCAGGAGATGGCATCTTGGATATCCAATGGCACCTACGTCGATGCAGTTCCCCCACCTGGGGTGAACGTAATCGATGGCCGGTGGTTCTTCAAGGTGAAGCGCCCCTCTAGAGAGCCGCCTGTGTTCAAGGCACACTACGCGGCTAGAGGCTTTAGTCAGCGAGAAGGGGTGGACTTCTTTCAGACCTTCGCCCCGACCCCGAAGATGACTACTCTTCGGGTGCTACTACATGTAGCAGCGGAGCGTGACTACGAGTTTCACTCCCTCGACTTTTCCACTGCGTTTCTTCAGGGCAGTCTACATGAGCATGTCTACCTGCGTCACCCTCAGGGCTTCACTGGTACCTTCCCTCCTGGGACCGAGTGGCTCCCCCGGCGCCCGGTCTACGGCCTACGACAGGTGCCCCGTGAGTGACACGATACTCTTCGTGCTACGCTAGCTGACTTGCAGTTCTTTCTGTCCTATGTAGACCACTCACTCTTTGTTCGTGCTGGCCATGCTCTGTTCTACATCCTTGTCTACGTAGACGACCTGGTCTTCGCTACTGCAGGCAGAGATGCACTGGCCTCCGTGAAGGCGGAGCTGCTGAGGAGACACACCTACGCTGACCTAGGAGAGCTGCGCAGCTACCTTGGTCTGCAGATCTCTAGAGACAGAGCAGCGCTGTGAGAGTACGACCCCGTTACACCACTTGGCCTTGTCTTATTTCCTTCCCTTTTCATTTCTCGTTTTACCGCATCTCATTTGGTTTCCTATTTTCCATTTTCCATTATCCTTTGGTCTCTTCCTTTATTATAATTATATCACCGACCAGGCATGGAATGTACTAGAGACGTTATCCAGCGTAATCCTGCCGTAATCCCTTAAAGCCAATAGCCTCACGTGGCTATACGCAGGGTGATTCTATCTTCTAGAAGGGTCTATTCCCTTAGGATAAGATAAACCTGGTTACCTGATGTACTCTGGAAGTATAAAAGCGCCTTGTACTGATCGATAGTGCAACCTTTCCTCGACACATTCGATCCTGTGACAAGCGCGCAACATCAGTCTTACACGGTCACACTTGGTGCGCCAAGTCTTTCAGAGGTTCGGTCTTCACTTCTTCTCCGCACAGCCCACACCTCTGCCACTAGACCACAGGCTCTCAGCTCCAGTTCGTGAGGAGTTAGTAGAGTCCAGTGGTCCTTACGCAGAGCTGGTGGGTTGCCTCATGTACCTGATAACGCACTCGTCCAGATCTCGCATACCCTCTCAGCATCCTGGCTTGCTTTGTGGCCACAGGCAGACACCGACCACAGCATTGGTCGGCCGCTAAGACGGTTTTGCGTTATCTAGCAAGTACATTGGGCATAGGGTTAGTGCTGGGAGGACGCAGGGCCGTGGTCCTTATTGGGCACACATACGGTTCTTGGGTAGACGGAGCTGAGACCCTCAAGTCCTCTCAGGGCTACTGCTTTAGCCTTGGTTAAGGTGCCATCTCGTGGAGGTCCACTCGCTCCTCGTCTGTTGCCCAGTCTAGCTATGAGGCTGAGATCTACGCCGGTGCCATGACGGCACAGGAGCTCTGTTGGCTGACCTTCTTGCTCACCAACTTAGGTGAGTGGCCTAACTCTGCCCCGGTTCTGTACGCTGACAACAGGGTCATTGTCCTCCTGTGTTAGGAGCCTCAACTTGAGGGCAGAGTGAAGCACATTCAGCTGCGGTGTTTCCTCCTGCGCGAGCTACAGCAGCGTTGACAAGCCCGTGTAGCACACTTGGCCTCCAGTGCCAACACAGCTGATATCTTTACTAAGGCACTTGCGCCTAGAGATCATCAGCGGCACTGTTTGCAGCTTGGTCTAGTTTCTGTAGATTCTCACTTGCTAGGAGCTTGATTGTGTACTCTTTATATATACCTTTCAGACTGGCCTTGTGGCTTCTCTT